GAGACGAAGGGCGCCTTTCGCACAATTCGCCACGTGCAGATGCGTGCGCCGCTAACCTAGTATTCCCCAGCGAGCGCCCGCCCCCAAAACGCACCCTTCCATCTTTGTGTTTAACAGTACGTGACTGACTCCCGGAACTGTCGCATTAAGAGGCTCGAGAGCAGCCCACCAGAAATTCCTACGAAACAATAAATCACGAAGCTCCGTAGAAGCTGCACAGACGCGTGTCGAGTCACACAGGCACTACCATACAAACTTGAAATAATAAATTGAACAAAATAGAATAAAATAATATTTATTCTTCTCCTCAATATAGAAATCAATATGTATGTATTTATTCAATATGTATTCATTATCGAAAAAAAATCATTTTTTCTATCATTCGTAATTAAAAAAGGAAGAATTGAGAAACTTCATTGAAAACCATTTGAATCAAATTTAATAGCAAATACTATTAATAATGATAAGTAAACTATGTTTCTGCATTTTCGAATATTTAACTTGTAAACAATTTTTAACATCTCTTATTGAATTTGTAAAACGTATGAACCGTCAGATCCATTTTTTTACTTTCGGCGCTTGTGACTATTATAGAAGTGCCAATTCTCGGAATAACCGTGAAGAAGAGCCGCTGTTTCGAGGCTTTCTCGGGGATAATTATTTGTCACAATTCTCTGTGTTTTTTAACCAGCAAAAATTATTTACTAAGTCGAGTTCTGCCTTCCGAGCTGAATTTTTTCGGGCCCAAAGGGCATTTACATTACATTTTGTTAATTTTTCCGCTGCCTAAATAAAGACAAAAACGAAACTCTTATGTCTGTTATAGGATTGCTTGTCTCCTGTACGACTGCGGTGGCCGAGTTAAATGAAGCGTAATGGCACAGGGCTTCGGACGCAAGGATTCTCAAGCTTTCTTCGACTTGTTCGGGCATCGCTCAGGGACAATTATTTGTTACAATTCTGTTACCAAATAATAATATCGCAAATTGCAGAATTTTTATTGAAAACGATTTGAAGCACTTGTACCAACAAATACAATCAATTAAAATAAATAAATGTGAAGTGTGTATGTGATATTCGAATTTTTAATTTTTAATCTCCTCATTTTTTCACTTACTCTCATTATCCCCGAAATGCTAGAACTGTACGCGTTGAGTCTTGAGTAATATGGAAGTTGTTCTGGTGGATGTGCGTGGTGGTTTGTTTAGTGGCGTGTGCAGGTTTATCAATTGAAAACAAGAGATAGCTGGTTCGTGTCCCACACGGGGATTTTATTTTGATGACAATGTTGTAGAAAACGGTTAGGGATTCGAGAAACGTCATTGAAAATAATTTGAAGCATTTCTACTCACAAATACAATAATTTCATATATAAATAAACAGGGTGTGTTTGTACTTGCATTTGCAATTAGTAATTTGTAAAAATTTTTACAACTTTCTTTTGTTGTTTGTGAAAGGTATGTCACGTCAAATCAATTATTGGGTTTGTGTGCATCTCTAAAGAGTGATTTAAGTAAATCAATAAATTTATCGACATGAAATTTAAATACATTATGAACACTATCTGTGTGATCAACTTAGATATACTTATCGGGTCAGACATTATTATTACTTTCTCGCCTTACGTAAGAAGAAAAAATTATGTAATCATGCGCCAGAAAACGCCGAAATTTCATGAGAATAAATCTTCTTGCCAGGTTCTGGTAACGAAAAAGTGGGTATATCGTGTTGCTAAATTAAGAAAAGTCTTCTAACTCCTGCAACGCATAGTGTGGCCAGAATTTATGATTTGTTGGTTCTTCATACCGAAATATCGATTGAATTCAAAATGTCCATCAGTCAGTTTGTCTGTATGAGACTCTGGGAGTTTCTAACATATATTTTGATTCTTCATGGTATTTTACATGAATTGGTCCTTCTTATACCTTTGTCCGAATTTGATTCAATTAGCGCTTCTGTGGCGTAGTGGTTCGTATGTGTGCCGTAACTCATACTCTGAGGATCTGAGTTCGAATGTCGGACCGTAAAAATAATTAGCTGTTGAACAACACTTTTCTGGATACGTAGTAGTGTATTTTTGTGGAGCTTTTAGAAACAATGCAAAAAAGTATGTGCTTTGGCAGCACCACTAGTTTTAATAATTATAAGAAACCTTAGTTTCACCTGTTTGATATTTCACGCAATGCCGTTGCCACTATTAATCACATTAAAAGCAGCCATACGTCTCTTAATAGCAGTTTATATAGACATCAAATTGTCAGTAGTGATTTTGTGAATGAGGTGAAGGGCCTGCGTCTATGGAGCATGTTTTTTGGCAATGTAATTTTTTGATACTGAAAGAAGATGAAATGTTCAGGTTCGCAAATTTAGTAAGTGTGGTATTTTTTTCTGCTTCTTCATTGCAAAGCATTGCATTGTTTTGAACAAAACTATTATACCAATTACTGTAAATTTTATTTCAAAGATTAACAAAAACAATATTATATCATTGCTGCTTATATTTTATGTATAGACGTATTTTAGTTCGCTTCTTCAGATACTTTTTTATTCATTGATTGCTTTCTTTATATTCACAATTGTCATGTTCTTTGAATTTTTATTTCATCAATAAGCGTTTTGGCTTCGTTAACATATGATTTACTGCTAATAAAATTGTATTAACTATAAGAGAACACGCATCCTACAGTAGCGCAGTTCCGTGTTAAATGCCCTATTACGACGTGTTGGTTCAGCGGCTTTTGCATTCCGCGCGGTGACAAAAGAACACTTGTCTAGAAACTGCTGATATTCATCAGTACAAAAACTACAAAAGTTAAAAACGGGATTCTGAATGCATGCAGAAATGGTTATGAGAAAATCTGTATCTAGAAGGGGAAATAATAACCAACACTTTATTTTCAAAATTACATTAAAATTTTTTTTGTTATTAACCTCCCAATTGCTGGAATTTAAATATTTAGTCTTGGTTTTTCCTTGCTGAAGTAATTCTCTGTTCTTTAACTTACACAAATAGTAAATTCTTCATATCATAAAAGTTCTAAGGACCAATTTCTTCACTTCACAAAAACCACTCACAAAATTGATTTACGAGAGATTGTGTAATAGTTGAGTAGTAATAGTTTGCTAAACAATTGATTTTCCAAATTCTGTGATTAAAACTGCTTCACACAGAGATAATCATTAAAAGCGGCAGAGCAAACATAATTTGGAAGTTATTTCGAACATTTTCAAGGCAATACATTTTTTGACATTTCTTCATCTAGGCTTTCACTTATCACATTTTACATTTTTCAAAAGGATATTACTCCATAAGTTTGTTTAAAACATAAGTAAAAACACATCTTTCGGTATTCATTTCTACTAAATCCATATTTAATTTCCCATAGTTATTTCTGATGGGGGTGAAAATTGTCATTAAATGTGATGCTTACCATTTTGAGAAGTTCTGTGCCCCAGATCAGGAAATGATCAAGGCACAACACGAATTATTTTTAAATGATTAACCAGTTTCTAAAAATATAACTTTGCGAACAATACAGTGTACTTCAACAATGCTCTCCGGAAAGCAAATCAGAGCCATCTCTACAGGTGTGGGCGTTAATTCAAGACGGAGTTGACTTCAGCTACCCGTAGTTTCTTTGTCCCCACCAGGATTGCTAGCCAGAATACGGGCTGAGTAGCCCTACTTTATGATACATATACTGTAAGAGAACTGATATCTAATAGGTTGCTCCTAATACAATTCATCAGATGCCAATAGCAGTGCAGCAAGACAGCTACCTAATACCAATGTACTGTAAAATAAAGTGAAATAAAATTGTAGTATTTAATTAAAACTTGAACACATTACATTAAAACCACATTCTTAAACATCGTGTTTTACATGAAAGTGATATTTTTCTTCTTTCAAAAGAATTGAGCAAGAAGCCTGGGCAACACCGAGTAGTTTGGTAGTTTTCAATAACTTCCAAAAATCGTACTTTGCAAAATGTACTTCGCGCAAAATGTACTTCACGTAATCGCAAAATGTTGTTTATTTCAGGAATTTCATCGACAGTAATTTCTTGGGTGGTCTGTCACACAACAAACTTAACCTCACAAACGTCTTCACTTGTGTTGAGTATGTTGTGGACCCCTCAAAACTCTCCATTTTTGTATATTTTATTTGTTCTTATTTTGTATTAGGGAACCTTTGAAGTTGCCATGGCCTTCTAAGGGACCTGCCCATCCCGTCACATTCCAACTCTCCTACTTCTCTTTTTACTCTCTGTCTATAACCCCGAATGGGACCCTCATCTCCCTGACTGTCGGACATAGTATCATCTTTGCCAATTGATTGATTTGTGAATACGGTCAGGACAACTGATAAATATAGTGCATTTTTCATCGCGGGAGATGGCAGCGATCTTCCTCCGCTAGATGGCAAGATCCGGCGCCGACCTACGTCGGCTCGAAGGGATTTTCCACCACCAGGTATCTCCCACCAGCGGTGACAAGCTCTAAGCGCCCGAATGGTAGGTGTGGATTCTAGTTCTTGTACGTATAAATGGGTGTTAGAAAGGAGTGAGGAAAGCACAAAGAGGAGGAAGGAAAGATAGCGCGCGGTCCGTGGCCCGGATACTGCTGCAGCTTTCGCCAAATGTTGATCGGAGAAACCATAAAAAACTATCGATAAGAGCAGCCGGCAGCTAAAATTCTCCCCACGACAACGGCTGAATTCGATCTAGCTGAGAGGTTAATATCGAAAATCATATCACCGACAGGTCTCAAAGCTTAGGACCTCCCGGTCCGAGCCACTACAGTGACATCAGTTGAAGACTTGAGAGTTTGGTAGAGGGTGATTCTTCTCTTATGTGGAATGAGTAAGATGTTGGTTTAAAGGTAGGTACACGGCAGATGGGTCTGTCCCATCAGGTCATAACAGACAACTTCATTACCCTAGACATCTTACGTACTCAGTTCAAACGTTACACGCAAATTGACGTAAAAGTCACAAGTTTATGGCCAATCACGGCCGGCCAGGTGTGAAAGGAATGTGTTTTAATAGTCATATATAATGGTTAGATAGGTTCCCTCATACCACGACACACGAGAAAATATCAATGCCCGAAGCGAGATTCGAATCCGCAACCCTTCCGAAACTAGACACTAAGGTGCATCCGCCTTAGAGATCTCTTATAATAGTTGCCAATTATTTAACTACTATTTGCTTGTTTTCTTGAATAACCCTCAGAAGTTAAAGTTTGTTCACATCAAATTAAGTAAATATTACTTGATAATATTTTTTTTAAATTACATCGGAGTGAAGTACAGTCCTTAGCTTTTTCGTCACTATCCAATGTTCTCTCTTTACCACAACCTTACGTCATCCAACCAAGGCATTGGGTCAGTGTTCGGAAATTAGATTAGCCAAATCTGATGCAAGGTTATCTCCAGAGGACTTGTGAACAAGAGTATAAATAGGGAAGTCTCCAGCCCCGGATAACGCCGCTATCATGTCTGTGCTTTTGAGGTTAAATTTGGTATCATTGATTTTAATTTTCCTAGTGATATTTGTGAATGCTATTGAGTCTTTTCTTGGTGATAAAATTACAACTTCTTTTTCCTTCACAATATCTAGTATTCGCAACTCGACAGGGCATCGCCACGTCAAGGTACGAACTTAAAAAATATTTTGGACAATTGATTCCGATTCAATAAAATGACATGAGCAATAATATGTTATGAAACGATGATGTAATGATGGGTATTTATACAGGAGTGTGGTGCGAGCGTATATCGTTAACTTTAGACGAGTGCATTATTATCCATTACACGGAGTTTCATGCGGTAGTGTTTTTTACGATTTATGGTCACTTTCGTAAGTTAAACTTTCAAATGAATTGTTTTGTGGCAGTTGACATGCACAATTCGTCCAAGCCCACCTAGCAGACAGCTCTCTACCGTACCTTGCGGCAGATGGCATTGGTCACTGCGCTAGTCAAATAGGAGCAAAGTGAAATTACGCTCCATTTTATTTTAAATAATATTACACGTAAAATACTACTAATAAAAGAAATTAAAACTGACGAATATAATTAAAACTGTCTAATAAAGTATTAAATGCAATTTTAATGTTCAAAATAAAACGAAACATTTACTATAACGATAGTCAATAATGTGGTGTCAATATTTGGTTTGTAAACTTCTTTATAATTGGTCAAAAACCTATCATAATCATATCTGTATACTAATGAGCATTATCATGCACCGGGTTGCAGCCATCAAATGACTGAATTATAAAATGGAAGTAGAAAAAAATCGTTATCGCATCGGGATTCAGAGTTTAATTAGTGACGACCTTTAGCAATTCTTTGCATAAACGTGACGAGTAGTACATGTGATGAGCTATTTATTTTCTACTTTCATATTTGATACGATTATCATTTTGTGGACTACTTTGTACGTTGAATTTACAGAAAAAAACTTTCTTGGAAACTAAAACAATATAAGTGTTAAAGAGTATAGAAGTGTACGCAAGGCACAATGGTCAGATTAGTTTCTGATTGTTCCACAATGCTTGGAAAACAATGATTTGCAAACTTAGTGTGAACAGTTTTGTAAATTATTAAACAAAATATTATGATCGTTGACAGAATTGAATAAAATATTAAGGAAGTTTAAGCGCGAGATTGATTTAGAAGATTTTTATGATTAATTTAGACAATATTTAATAGGTTGAAAAAGAAACGACAACTATATAGGCCAATAGTAAATGGACAAAAACAAGACAACTTCTTTTAATTTTTTAAAATTTATTGAACGTAAGAAGCTTTGTGCAACGTACAGAGAAAGAAATGTAATATGTGCACGTTTTCTTAAGCTTTGAAATTCCTACGCTAGCTTTTACTCCGTATGAAGTTGCGTTTTGAATATAGGGAGCAACTCCACATGAATGTAGCTTTTGAATCTTGAAATGACAAGTGAAAACGGAATGACATTTTTTGTTCTTTGAACTTGTGTATTTCGCTAGTACTGAGAACTGCATATCATACAAGACACATACTTGCATCCAGAGGTTTACCTCAATAGTAATCGCAGGCCGGACTCAAAATTAGGATGGAATTCCTCTTGAGGAAAAAAAGTCTGTTGGCATTAATGAAAAAGTAAAAAATCTTGACTGGTATTATTCTTTTTTCATTTAAATTTTTAACATGATTTTTGCTTTCTCGGAAAGACAAAACACAACTATTCCTTCGTGATGTCTAGGTTTGAAAATATATATTCAACTTAATTGAGATCGGTTCCAGAAGAATAATGAAGGAAAATAAGAAAGTAAATGACAGAAAAAGGCAGAAATAAGACAAAAAGGCAATATACGCATCATAAGATAAAAATGAAAATGAAAATCTACTAAACCAATTCCGGAAGTACAATTAATTGATTCCTATTTTTAAAAGTCATTAAAACGTAACCATAAAGAAGCACTACGCCTAACTTCCGGGCTCTGCTTATTTTCATAAGAGATTAATGCATTTCATCAAATTAATAATACTCATTAAGGTTTTCGGTTTTGTGTTGTTGAAGTTCAATGTAAATTTATTTACCTTTTTTACTGTTTACAGTGTGAAATCAACGTTCCTGAAAATAAAAGGAGAACGTTGGATATTCCGAATGAACTACTAATCAACGTACAACAGGGTGCATATTTTATTAGGAACAGGAAACACATCCAAATTGTCACTTCATTTAGTGGTAAGGGAACACTTAGAATTCTCCGAGCGATGCTGAAATACAGTGATGAAGTTAGTGTAAGTATATGGCATAGTACTGATCATTTCAGATTTAAAGGAATACAGTTTTCCATGCCAAGGGAATACAGTTTTCCAAAATTTAGATTCCATAACCTTCCGACGCCCGCATATATTTTACATATTATCCGTTTTCTTGTTGTTAAGACAACCTTTGACGAGAAAAGAAAACTCAATAAAATTGGAGCATTATTTTCAACGAGAACAGACAGTACATTTACTTACAGTAGAAACGTTTCATTGTCTTGGCCACAAAACGAAAAGTACTATTCTACTTCCCTAGTTTCTGCATAAAAATTACAAAGAATAATAAATAATTAGAGGTATTACAGAATGGAAAAAAGATTCTCGTATTAGTTTTGTATTATCTTTGGTCTGGGCTAACTCTTTTGATTTGCTTCATAGTTCTGCCGGCTGTCAATCAATCATTGGCCAAAGTACATTTTTAGGTAAATTTCCTAATTTTTCGATTACGGAATAGTAGTTGAGAAAACATTAATGTATATTAAAAAATAGTAAAACCTCGTCATATATGGCAATTTTCAATGAACCATTTGGAGCCGTTTTTAAGAAAATGACGTGTAATCGTTACTGTAAATACAAAAATTGAAGCTTCTCTTCATAGAAATTGTTTGATTTTTTGATAAACTTTATAAAAAATAATTTAAAGCACTTCCACACGCAATTCCCTAAATCACTATAAGTAGTATTTGAAGTATTTACACTCAACATTCTTTTCTGTGAATCATTAGGGCATGAAACATGTTAAATAGTCTACAGGGCATTCACTGATCACTTTTTACTCAATCTGTTCAATACAGTCTCTGCTTTAATATCCAGCATCTTTCTATCAATACTGAAAAATTGGCATAAGCCGTGACTGTGACCATATTTAATGATAGCAGCGGTCGCGCGCATGTTGCGTCGCCTGCCTCTTTCGTCCCGTTGCGGTGCTTCTTTTTAAACCTGGCTTATCGCTCGCACATCGGTCGGCTTCGCCTACCTGCGCCGTGTGCTCACGACCTTGGCCTACTTGTGGTCCCGCTGTGGCCTCATCCTCTTCAAACTGACCATCTAGGATGCCGCTCAAAGCCGTCTTCTTTCGCCTTCCACCAGATCTCAGTCGACTCTGCTCCCGAATTCTCTCTTGATACGCCAGACACCAGAACAGAATACCAGCCTCCTCTTATTTCTTCCGCAGCACGCCGTACGCCGACGCATATTAAACAGTTCTTACGCGTGGAAGAGAAACGGTGTGTCTTGTCCCTAGCGTTCTCTTCGATATACTCTCACTCGTACAGTTAATTACATCAGTTCTCCCGCAGCCTCACAGTAACTCAAGTATTCACTCCACGGACACTGTTTCTCCTCGTGCTCATTTCCTTATAACACCACAGCTTATAACTAAGTATCTTATTCATAATTCTATTACGTCGATTTCTCTATTCTTTTCTAACTACTTTCTTTCACGGGTAATTATTTTATCACCTACTCGCCCAGATGGCGTCTATCACTCCTACTCCACGCAATGGGAACCGCACAACCGACCTGGTCGATGACTTTCTCAAGGAGGAACGGTCAGCTGTTTACCCTCTCCTAGAGGAATAACACCGCGTCACAACTCCTACCGACTGACCCCTCGCGCTCGCCATAAATTGTAATTCCGGCCGATGACGTGTGGGCAGCAGATATATTAAAGTGCACGTTTTTGCACTGATCACAGCAGTGTACATGCGTTTGCGGGACGGGTCTGGTATCTTTACAAAATAAATATACAAAACACTCACAAAAGAAAATCTCAATAAAAACCACAACAAATTCTTATGTACTAACACATCCAATACATACATTTCGTTTGCTAACTTACATGAAAAGCAGATTGGACACTTTGTAAACACATTTCAAAAAAGGGTAACTCAGTTGCCGTAAAGTTAGATAATTCTTTTTGGTAATTTCTGATCTTTCAGTTTCTTAACCTTCACGAAAAAAGAACAAGTTTTATGTTGTTTTAAGAAAAGACTATTTTACACATTTGTTTCATTAAAATCCATAATCTTTGTATAACATTACAACTTTCATTCATTTTATACATTTTCTAAAGAAAGATTGATTCAAGCCTTTTCATCAATTCAACTATCTTTAGCTACCAGCACTTTATGCTATTCCTATAATTCCTTTGCGAATTCTAGAGAGAGTTCAAACAAATACACTTCCATTGGGACATTCTTACTAGAATTGCAATCACAGTTTTGTGAAGAAGTCTCAGGTGTGCGGACCGCAACGTCTTCACTATCCCCTGCTACCGTTCGGTGGCCTTCAGCTCGCATCTGACTAGTTCGCCTACGTCCACGTTTGTCGTAATATGCAGCCGGACAGCTAACTGATCCAATTATGCTTGCGTGTAAATAGTGATTGTTTGCTATTGGGTTCGACGGATAAGACATAAAGAATACTAAGACAATAATCCAAATAAAAATGCCGAAAGAGATGACACTCAAGTATAAGTTTTATTCTATCTACACGTCCTTGCTCATACCTTTCAACTATTTTCTATATTTTCAATTATCAGCACTTTTATTTAGGTAATTGCTTCTAAACGTATGTAGTTCATCTATAAACCAATTTAGTTACCTCATCCTTATGTCTGCGAAGAGTTTTTTTTCTTTCCAGTCGACGTGGGCTCAACTAGAACTGTCCGTTAACATTCCGACATTCCACGCCACATGTTATCACTTCGCTGGCTCTTTACCAAGAGAACTCTTTCGCGAAATGTGGGGGTCACGTCATCTTAATCCTACCCTGGCTTTTGATAATTTCAGACACTTCCGTCTTGTTATGAAGCGCGCATTTCAAATCGTTCCAATTCACTCGCGTTCCTAGTGAAGCATGTGTCTCGTTTTACTAATCGTAAGGAATATTCTACTCGTTATTAGATCGTTTGAGAGGTAGATATGATAATTAAGATTATTATTATGATAAATAAAGATGTTGTCGAGTATCAATACTTTTACGTATTGATACCAGACAACATCATTATTTATCATATTCGACTCGTATTAACAGTTCTCGCTGATGAGAGGCGACCGCCACCGGGGTACGAGCTGGAGCCTGGCGTGGGCTGGTACCGTCTGCACCTGACGCCGCTCTCCTGGGAGGAGGCACCCCTCTCGTGTGAGACAGAGCACGCTCGCCTTACTTAATCTCTTTCCTAAGCAGGGCTTTATTCTATGAACAGTTCTCGATGATGAGAGGCGACCGCCACCGGGGTACGAGCTGGTGCCTGGCGTGGGCTGGTACCGTCTCCACCTGACTCCGCTCACCTGGGAGGAGGCGCGCCTGGCGTGTGAAGCAGAGGACGCGCACCTCGCAGTCCTCAACTCCCAGGAAGAGGCCAATGCTCTGAAGAGAATATTCGCTATGGCTCCGAATCCTATTCCTGGAGCTTCTTGGAGCCATGGAGCCTTCATTGGAATCTTAGATGTGGAAGAAGGACAACATCTCACGCTTTTTGGTGAGAGGATGATCGTGGTTTCATTATTATTTTAACCTCTGCAGATAGTTACACCCCGATATTTTAGAGTAATGTAAAGGAGTTAGGGACTTAGAATAGCTTACAGAAGATTTGATATTACTATGTTTTCATTTATTTATGAGTAATGAAAATATTTACATTATTATTTGATTTCAAAATATTTTATTAGTTCAGAATGTTATTTACGTTGGTTATTTTTAAACGTATTTTTATGTTTTTTTGTGTGAAAAGGATTCTATATTAACGCCAGCGTATACAAGCGATATTTCCCCAAATTTTCTAGCAAGGGTATGTGTTTTTTTTCTGCTGGTTATACACCTTATCGTTGATATACGCGATTCAGTCGTTATTTAAAAATTATTCATGAGCTTATAAAGCATGTGGCTTCTCCTACACAATCATGTTGCATAGCTCTGAAATTTTAACAACTAACAATAGTTGATTGTATTTTTCCTCAGCTCTCGGTACAGAACTTCGATTTCTTCGTGACACAGTGTTAAAAGTAAGTTCCTAAAATATCAGTTGCTCTAGGGATGAATATTTACAATAACATAAATCATACTCCTGGTACAATTTGGCGGCGATAGCTTATCAGATTGTTATACCCATAGTTCGCGGGCTCAAACCCGATAAAAACCGTAGGTATTTAAGGACGAAATAATTCTTCGTACGCCTTCTTTCGAAAGGGAAGTAAAGCTGACTGTCCCATGTTGGTATATTTACTGCATGTAAAAGATCGAAGCCTCTGAGCTGAATTCCAATCGCCGGTTTCGTCACCCGAGTTATGCCTCTTTTCTCCGCTAGTAGGTGAAAGGGGCGTAGCGAAATTTGCGTGGTCACATGGACGTGCGAGCCTGATGGCCTGAGCCTTGCCATGTAAAATAAAGCATCAATTCAATTCAACAAATGCTTACAGTATGTCTGATTTATAAGCTCCGTACATATCAGATTTTTATTTTTCGCATTCCCTAATGCAATGAATGGGTGTTTGTCTAAAATATCTGGGATATAGTAGTTAGAAAATTATAGTAATTAATAAAATTATTAGTAATTAATTATAGTAATTAATAGTTCTGGTTATTTACTCTAAAATTCTATGTATCTGTGTTTTTGGATAATAACAAATGAAATTAATTATAGAATTGATACACAAAGCACAAATTTTAATACTCGTGAAACAAGTAGAAAATCAATTTTTTATTTGTAAGTTATTCGGGAAATATTTGAGTGTATTCACATATTGTATACAATTTAATTTGCATGCAATTTTAATATCGACTATGTCAAAATACGCAATGTTGTACTAGAACTATCAGATTATTTAAAACCTTTCAGAAAACATAACGATCTATGAAAAATGCTTTCACTGATTTATCATCAGAGGCGTTGATGTTCCCAGGTGAAAGATTAGAAGCTGCTGGATACGCTCAATGGGAAGTTGGGGAGCCAAGTAACGTGAAGACAGACATTGACTCAGAACAAAACTGTGGAGAAATACTTCGCAAAAATGGCAAAATCAACGATGTGTCTTGCAGAGGAAAACTGGCATATTTTTGTGAATATGAATAATTATTTAATTTATGTACTGCTATTTCTACGAAGATAGTACTCCAGGCAATGTAAAATGTAGAACGTTGTTCAATATGGCAAATTAAAAGTGAAGGTTTATAATATTCATCTCTATTATTATTGGATTACGAAATAAAAATTTATATTTAAGTCAATCTGGTCGTAAACAAAAAGACCTGTATATTTACGAGGGCGTGTATTAAAAATATTTAAAAACTGATAATAATTTAACAACCTTAAATCGTTCTCAGACTATTACCAAAAATTAATATTCCTCTACTGTTTTGGATCAACTTCGAATATTGACCAAGCTACACATACAATATTGATAGGGTTGAATATCCAGAAGAGGGAGGCGAAAAAATTACCATATTAAATGGATCGCTTCTTATCTTGGTGTTCTCTTACTCCTTTCACAATTTGGCACAAGCCTTTTCCTGGCCAAAATCTCACATTAAAATTACTTGCTACGTAAGTTGATCCTACTGATCCTAGGTTCTCTGAAGATGGTTGCCTTACCACTAGTGGAAAAGGCTATTCACGTGGTAAGTAAGCTACTCTATGGAAAACCTTTATAGCAATAAAGTCATAGCAACCTAGAATTTTAAGACAGTGCCAGTGGCGTAGACGCATATATATTAAAAGAATGAGGGAGCTAGAGAAACGCACAGACACGTCATTCTTTCACGAATGTTGTAGTTCGACTGAGGTAGGCCGTTAGGGACGTGGAAGAGCAGAAGACATTGATAGCGGGTTTGCACATCTAGGCCTATGCGAGTGTAGTTAAACAATTGTAAATTTAGAATTATTTTAAATTACATTGTTTTAGAATTAAAGAGAGGATGATGTTTTAGAGTTTGTGAGAGGCTATTCAGTTAATAATTACTGAGAGAAAATTTAATACTTATTACATTGGGCGAATTGGTCCCGTCATAATTTCTTTCAAAAGATTGCTCTGCAACATCTCGAGATGCGATGTGGCCAAGTTTAAGCCACAATAAATAATTAAAATACATAATACAAATTAAATCAGTGTACACACCCACGTGACAAGAGCGTGCATTACATATTTCATAGCCCGGGGAATGCACATTTTGGAAAATACCCTACGTATTGTTTATACTACGAATATCACTCCAATAATACATACGTATACGAGAATGTAAAAACGGGATCAACTCGTTTTTGTCATATTTTGGTAGTTTTATAGGAAGACAATCACACAGCTCACCTACCGACGAGACAGTGCATGTGCTCAAAATTAGCCTTACATAATCACTTCGATTAGTGACGATTGATTAGCGGTTTCGGATGCATGAAATGCTGTCATTAGTTCCGTAGTGCATGCTTTTTCGCGAGGGGGGGGGCGATAATCTAAAACAGGTGAATGGCGATATCCGGCGCCGGACTTCCCTACGTCATGTGAGGGTTTTCCCAACTATGTATCTCACTACTACCCGGACATCGCCCCAACGGAGACAAGAACTCGGCTGGTCTCTCAACATGTGAGGTATTGTGTGTATAGTGCATGTAAGTGTGTGTATACGTAAGAAGTAAGAGTAAAGAGAGAAGACGGAAAGACCATACGTCATTCGTAGCCCACTTGTTAGGGATCTGCTCCGGCATTCACCTGGCATCGATATGAAAAACACGCAAATCTACCAATCAGAGCAGTTAGAATTTTCTTCCGGACAGAAGTACCCGACCTAGGTGTTCAGCTAGTGTCGAAAATTCTCCCACCGTCGGGACTCGAACCCTAGGATCTTCAGTCGGAGGCCCTGCAGTGACATCAACTGATACACGAGCAACCTATGTCGGTGGTGATAATCGCTTCGATGTGAATACCAGAACAGCTCAAATTAAACAATAGAGTATAAACAATCTCCTGTGCTAATTTCATCGCCGTAGTTTTAATGGTTTAGGATATAGAGCCTATTGAATATGACTAATCTTTTTAAAGCGTTGTAAATTCTGAAATTAACGGTTTCCAAGTCCATGTACATAGGGGCACACTTCTCATCCATATATGACAAATGATGACTTTTCTGAAACTACATGAATTTCGACACAAGTTAGTGATTCTAGAATTCATATATTTTGCATTGTTTGTGAGATATGGGCATTTTTTTGTGTTAAAAAATGTAAAGTTTTGTCGAAATTCGACATGACTGATTTTTCTAGAAACCAGGGCCCTGGAACGTATTTTATGGCGAATCAAAGGTGATACCAATTTTTTTATTTGAAGCTTATTGTTTCAGAAAATCGCAAAACTTTTGTCATACACGACAATTTCTGCCAAATAGTGGTGTAGATAATTGCAATTCCAAGCAGATTCGTACATAAGAAATTTCATTTAAGACCCAAAATAAAGTAGAATACATACAATCACCGGATTATGTATCGCGAAACACCGATTTTTCTCCTTCGTATCCTTTATCTTATCCCAGGGGCGACGATGGTGGAAGTGTCCTTCGTCTTTACATTCTCCAGCCTCGATTTTTGTAAGAACATCTCCAACAAGATTCGAAGATCCGGAGATGCGTATCTCGTGGAGAGTAGGTCTTGTGGTAAGATACTGGCAACCAGTAAAAAAAGTACGATAGTTGAGCTCTGCGCATCGCTGTTGTCTGTCAGTTGTTTCTTCAGGCAAAGAATTTAAGCTTAATGTGGCACATGCTTTAGTGTTGTAATGGTCATAATAATATCTGAGACACCGAGGAAGAAGAGGAGAGAAAGAAGAAGAAAAATGAAAAAAATATAACAAAGATACGAAGAACGAAATAAAAAAGAAATAAAGGAACGAAGAAAGAATGAAGATGAAACAAAGAAGAAAGAAAGAAGAAATAATGAAGGGGAAATATAGAAGAAAAAAGAAAGAAGAAACGAGAAAAGAAGAAAGAAGAAAGAAAAAAGACAAAGGATAAAGAAGGAAGAAAGACGCAGAAATCAAAATAAAAAGTAAGGATACAAGATGAAGATGTAATAAAAGACGATAGAAATGTCAAATAAAAGATGACGTTGTGTTACTAGTGTGTATTGAAATTATGCTATAGACTTTTGTATACACTACACTTTTATTCTCGTTTATGGAGCTCGAAAGCATATGTCTCCCAGACAGCTATTAATGATTTAATTTACGTAAATGTTAGGAGTAGAGGTTACTTTAAAAAAATTTTGCAACAAGACGGAATATATAATACGACATAGTAAGTTCATTTGGGACTTGAAGATCTAAACGCAAATACAAAATGCATATAAATATAAAACGTTATTTAATGCAAACAGATAATTTTCTGTTTCAAATACTGAAACGAGATCACGCCACAATAAGCTGACAAAAATATTACATCGTTCAAGAAGCTCCTCGGAACAAACATTTCGTCCGGAAAAACCGTTCCACGACGTCGCGCCGTCTCCACCGACGTCCAGATGGCGAGAAAAGTTTGTTTTGTAGCGAGGCTTCTCCAACGGCCGCGGACCACGAAGAAGATGAAAAAGGAAAAAAAAGAAAAATACAACATCGCCGTCTGTGAGGCCATTTTCTTGGAGTGTTTACAGCAGGTCGCGGGTTCACATCTGAGTCGTCGCATTTCGCACTTTACCCCCAACTCTCGCGTTCTCACAGACGTCGAAAGCTTCGTCAGGGTTGCCAACGTTATCGGCCGGGCTGCCGCCTAGTCTGCTTTTACCAGTTGTCTTTTACCAAATATAGAGAATAGTTCAAATGTAAGGGTGGTCCATTCAATCTGTAACATTTTGAAGATTGTATTACTTGTGGAATTAATGCTCTTGGAAAACCTGGTAAGTACATTAGGAAGAGGCTATTTTTAATCGTAAATATTTTGACAAAAAATGAAAAGTGTTTGCGATAGTTAACTTGTGTGTACGTAACATGTATATCAATATTTACACATTAGGTGAAGTGAAATGTTCCGCGCGAGCAGTAAATACGTTTATGAATTTCATTCCTACCAGGCATTTAAATATTCGACTTCATCTTATCTTACCATCTTAAATTATTTGCGCATAAAACTGTATCGGCCTCATTGCGACTATTTTCAGTACTAAAATAAAATGACAAATTTTCATACTACAATTTTCAGCATACAATGTAATAAGTTATTTTAACTTACTTCTCTTGTAATTTGTCTTCTTTTGTAAAATTGGTAATTTAAAAAAATGTATTTTATTTTATAATACTGTATACAATCGCAATGAGAACGAAAACGCATTATACGAAAACATACATATGATAAAACAATATATTTCAGATTTTGATAATGACAATGTAAATCCCATACCACTTTCCACTGTTCATGCCAAGGTTTTATTTGATAAATCTTATTGTCATCGTGCAACTGAAATATTGGACATTATTGAGATTGGGTGGTTTTTAATTAAGGGAAGCATGACAATTATATAAGGATAAATCATTCCTTTGTATTAGAAGTATTAAGAATAAGCGAATAAAAGGAGAAAAGAGAATGTGAAATTATGAAAGAGATTAAAGAAAAATGAGGTAGAAAGACAAAAAGAAAATAACAAAGTAAAACGAAAGTAATAGGAGAGAAAACGGAAAGAAAGGTAGAGAATTTTTAGATGTGATTTTTCTCTATCTACCTATAGAATAAATAATGTAGTGGTCTTGAGACCTTTCATACTTTTCCCAACTTTCTGGAATGTAAATGTTTAGAGTGTATTATTTCAAAAACTGTACACAATTTTACCTTTTTTACTGTGTAAATAAATAATTAATCTCCTTCATCTCCTTCCAATAAAAGTAAGTTCTCAATTATAGTAAATACAGAACATCGGAACATCGAACAAAACTATTTGTTAAAATACGAAAAATAGTATGTATCACTTATAGGACACGACCTACGACTACGATTAGCATAACGCATTCTGGAGTGCGTCCAACGCATAACGTATAAATACATTCTATGACAAAATATTTTTTTGTTTCATAATTTGTGAGTGAAACAACCAAAACAAATACAAAGTAGTTTATGTAAAAAAATGACTTGCAATTGAAAAGCATTGAGATATTTAGCAATTTCTTCTCAAATAGCTTTGAAAACATTCATTTTTAAAAATTTGTTGATGTG